TTTCCTCTGAGAGAAACTCTCGAGAGAAGTAAAAAAGAAAAGAAGAAAGTCACCAAGCCTGATGAGGTTGCACCTGCACCAAGTACTTCAACTTGACCACACATCAACTATTCCAATATTCTCTGGGTCCCCATAATGACATAATGCCTTGGGTAAATTTGCTGTAAAAGACTCTTTAAAAGTTCTACAAAGTGAAGATGTCGCTTTGATGACTAAGGTGCTCCTGATCCAAGCCATGGTCTTTACGATTACCTCATACGCATGCAAAAGCTGGCCAATGAAAAAGAAAGACCAAAGAACTGACCCACTTGAATTGAAGTGTTGGCGAGGAGTAATGAATATACCTTGGACTGTCAGAAGAATGACCAAATCATTCTTGGAGGAAGTATAGACAGAATGTTCCTTAGAAGCAAGATTGTGGGACTTTGGCTTACTTTCTTTGGACACGTCACTGGGAAAGACCAATTGCTAGGAAAGGGTACCATGCTTGGTGAAGTAGAGGGCTCATTAAAAATTAGGGAAATGCTCAATGAGATATGTTGACCCAACAAGAGATTCAGCCATACCAAAATCATGAAGATGGCATAGGACCAACAACATTTCATGTGTTATACACAAGGTCCCTATGAGTTGGACCCCACTCTACAGCAACTAACAACAACAACAAACATGGGTTTCATCTTCTGTGCTCCCTCATTCAGCCTTGTTATCTGGCATGAAGGAATCCCATCCATGCCATGTATTAGATGAAATATCCTTGGGCAAATCATTTCGCCTTTCTGTGCCTTCATTCCCTCAACTGGGGATAACACCTACCCAGAAAGAGTCTTAAGGGCATTAGGATTAATTAATGCAACTCTGCACAGGAGAGGTGGTGAATGTTCAACACCTGGTAAATATTATTTTGCTTAAGATGTGCACTTGGATTTCATGGAAGCCCAGTAGACCTGGGTTCAAATGTCATATCTTCCACTTCTTTACCAGTTGTGGGACCTTAGCTAAAAGGAATTGGGCCTCAATTCCCTCATCAGTAAGGTGGGCATATATCCTGGTTTTCCTGGGACAGTCCTGATTACATCTGATATGCTGATATGGTTATGAATGGTATCCCCTTAGTAAAACCAGTTGCAGTTAAGTCAACTCTGATTCAAGGCAACCCTACGTGTGTCAGAGTAGTACTGTGCTCCACAGGGTTTTAAGAAGTATATCACAAGATCTTTCTTCTAGCATGCCTCTGAGTGAATTTGAACCTCCAACTTTTCAGTGAGAAGCTGAGCTCATTAACTGATTGTTCCATCCAGGGACCCCCAGCCTCCCCTTACACTCTCACAATATTTGAGTTTGTAAGAACTACATGGTGCCCAGCCACCACTACCTACCACTCTGATCAGGATCACAATAGAAGGTCCTAGATAGAAAGGGGGAAAATAATATGTAGAACAAAATTCAAAATAATAATAATAAAAAAGACTAGATTTACTGGTCTGATAGAGATTGGTGGAATTCCCAAGACTGTGGCTCATAGATACCCCTCGAGTCTAGAGCTGAACCCACCCCCAAGGAACTACTTTCAGCCACACAATAAACAGGCCTATAAAGTGAACAAGAATGCCAGAGAGGGATGTACTCCTCAGTAATCAACACTATGAGACCAAAAGGGCCCAGACGCTCTAGTATGGCGACGTGTAAGCCTAAAAATTCTACTTAAAAGCACAGATTAAAGACATCCCACTAGAATAAAGTCTATGTCAACATATACTAATTGGTAATCAAGAGGGAGAATTGCTTTATGTTTCAGTGGGTGAGACTTTGTGAAAGAACTTAACTAGGTTGCCTGGTTAATCCTACGCAAATTCAGGTTAGAACCAGAGTGTGGTTGATCATGACTCAAAGAGGCAAGAGGTGCTTGTTTGCCAACATTTCTTTAATATTTTTCTGAAGTTCTTTACTGTCTCTTAAGCAGCCTCTCTGTTTCCACCCTCTTGCTCTGCTGACTGATGCTCCCCTCCACATCAAGGAGAGCTGGACCAAATCACAAATCTGACCATGCCTCTCTTGGTGTTCTGCCCCCCTCCGCTGTTCTGTTCTTTGCCTCAACCAGTCGTCTGTCAGTTTGTCTTATGTGACAGCTTGCATGTTTCTATGATGCTGGAAGCTATGCCGCATGCAGGGTCACCTGTGGTGGACAGAGTAAGACAGACTAGGAAGAAAGGCCTGGTGATCTACTTACTCTAAAAACTAGCAAATGAAACCTTATGGATTGCAGCAGAATATTATCCAAATAGCTTTCTTTGGCCGTATCACCATGAGGGATCAATGGCTGGAGAGAAGCATCATGTTTACTGAAGCAGAGGGCCTCCAAGGGCAAGGGAGAGACCTTCATTGAGATGGACTGGCCCAATAGCCGAAATGATGAGTGCCTTAGGCACTAAGCTACCAGAGCTCCTCTTCACAGTCTAGTGGGAGGTAAAGAGATGGTCTATTCAGTGTCATTTTTTAGTCTGTGGAGTCCAAAGCTTGCTTACAGCATAGTATGTTGACAAGGGTGCACATTCTGGTTCTATGGCTCCAGGAGGCTGCACTGCTTGGTTGAGTCTTGATTAATGTCTTGATGCTAATTGACTGTGGTCATGTGCAGCACACACACTGAAAACTGTTACTTCATTCATCAGGTCAAGATGTCTTGGTTTGCCCCTTTCCTTCTATCACCACTGCTCCCATCTTGGTCCAGACAACTATCACCCCCATCCTGGAGCTCCCCAACAGCCACTGCATCCACTCTTACCACCCTTCATTCCCTTCTCCATACATCCATGATCTCTATAAAATGCAAATTGATTGAATTAGAAACCTGCTTAAAATCCTTTATTGGGTTTCTTCACTAGCAAATCCCTCCCCTGGATACATAAGAGGCTTCTCAATGGTCCTGCTCACTTTTACCTCCTCATCTTCTCATTCATCTCTACCTTCTTTGAGCTTTTCAGCCATATTGACTCCTTTTCTAAACCTCAGCCGAATCCCTTTTGCTCTTCAGGATGTCTGTTCTCTCATCGGAAGTGGCATATCTTCCCTGGATCTTCACAAACTGGCATTCTTCCTTCAACCCTCAGCTCCACCATCACCTCCCCAGAGAGCTCTCCACCAACCCCTCCCATTGTCCTGTGCATTTCATTTAGAATGCTTATCACACCCTATGGATTACAACAGTCTGATCTGCAAAAAATCATAGGGATGGCACATGAGCACGGTGTCACCATGAGTCAGGGGCCAGCTTGACGGTAGTTAACATCAACAACAATCACATTTAAATAAGCAAGCAGATTTGTCTTTCCCATCCAAGCAAGGGAATCTCCTGAGGGCAGGGATAATGTTGCTCTCATCCATCACTGTGGGACTGACCCAGCCCAGGAGACAATTGTCAAATGTTGAGGGAATGAATGACTCTGTCTAGTAGTTTCTAAACCGTGTGTGTCACCCTAGAGTTTGGTAAAGGTACCTCAGAGATTGTGTTTCCACTACCTATATTGTCTTCTCTCTGGACACCACAGGGTAGGTCTCATTGGCCGGGTGGTGACTCTAGTTGGGAAAGCTTGGGGTTGGAGGTGCAAACAGGACCCCAGCAGTCATACTGAGCCCCAGTCATAAGTCTGGGCACATGACCTAATCCTGGCTCTCACTGAGCAGGGCAGGCAGGAAAGGAAGGGCACAGACCTCAGCGGTACTCAGCCAAATATGGTACCCCAAGGACATCTGGAAATGTGTGGATGCAGTTTTGGTTGTCATGGTGACTAGCATGCGGAGCCTAGGAGTGATAAACATCTTGCATTTGCACAGGAGTCTCACAAAATAAATAATTGTCCAACCCAAATGCCACTGATGTCCCTATCTGAGAAATGCTAAGGACTCGGGGGTGGGACCCACATAAATCAAGGGAGTTATGGAGAGCAAGCTAGACAAAGACTTCCAGCCTCCCTCAAGCAACGATTAGCAGAAGATTTGGGGCCAGAGCCCTGAGCCTGAGTTCGAAACCTTCTGCTTACCAGCTGGGTAGCCTTGGGCAAATCATGTAACTTCTCTAGGCCTCAGTTTTCTTACACAGGGAATATGGCAGCCAACACCTGCTTGACTCTGTTATTCTGAAGATAGTGTACAGGGCCGTGGTAATTCAGTGGTAGAATTCTTGCCTTCCTTGCAGGATACCCGGGTTCAATACTCAGCCAATGGACCTCATTCCTTGCCACCACCCGTCTGTCATGGAGGCTTCTATGTTGCTATGATCTGAACAGGTTTCAGCAGAGCTTCCAATCTAAGACAGACTAGGAAGAAAGGCCTGGAGACCTCCTTCTGAAAACCAGCCAGTGAAAACCCTATGGCTCACAATCATCTCATGCTCAGCCCATCTTGGGGCCGGCACAGGATTGGGCAATGCTGCATTCTACTGTGGAGAGGGTCACTGTGAGTGGGGAACTGACTCCACAGCAGCTGACAATGACCAAATTGTGAATATACCTGACACCTAATAGAGTCAGTAAGGGTCAGCTGTCTTGTAAGTCTAATGTGTCCATTAAAAAAAAAAAAAAAAAAACCAACTCACTGTCATCAAGTGGGATCCAACTCATAGTGACCCCTCCTTGGGTTTCCAAGGTGGTGTCACTATGCAAGTAGGTTGCTCAACCTTCCTTCCAAGGAGTGGTTGGTATATTTGAACCACCAGACTTCTGGTTAGCAGTCAAATGCCTTAGGCACTATGCCACCAGAGCTCCTAATGTGTCCATATAGTATTCAATTTGTGGTGGATCAGGGCACAAGTCAGAGGGTATTTGGAGAGGGGAGAGGATGGATCAGGTCACAGCCATGGTCTCACTCAGGCTGTCAGAGCTGGCCCCCATCACAAGAGCACTTTCTGCCACTTGGCCACTCTACAGCCTGGCATATGGGAAGGGACACTGGCAGCATGGCTCTCTGGGATGATTAATTCTGTCTTGGCTCTGACACTGCAGGTGGCATCCCATTCATACTGACTGGCGAGTTCTTCCAGCAGTCGCAGCGGCAGGCTGCCTTCATCATCGCTGGCACCGTCAACTGGCTCTCCAACTTTGCTGTTGGTCTCCTGTTCCCATTCATTCAGGTAGGACTGGCCAAGGGTCTCCTTCCCCCAAGCTCCCCTTTGATTCTGCAGCCTGCTGAAGGGTGATTCATAAAGCAAGGTTGACCTTCTCTAATAGGGAACTCACACTATTCCCTAAGGGAGGAAACATTGTCCTTTGCCTGGGACCTTTTCTCCCCTTCTCCTTCCTGTACCATCCCAGAGCTGCCCCTAAATGCTGTGGACTGCCTTGGAAGGGAATGGGCTGCTCCTCACAGAAGGTAGGCCTAGATTAGAGTCTGAAGCCTGCAACCTGCTTGTCAGTTTTGCAATGGGCTAGTCATTGCATTAGGAGTGTATTGGTGTTTCTGTAGTAGAATTGGTGCTTTCCATGTGGAAACCCTGGACTGGATTCCCAGCCAAAGCATCGCCGTGGAGGCTTGTGCATTGCTGTGGTACAGAAAAGGTTTCTGTGCAGCTTCCAGGCTAAGAGAGAAAAGGAAGAAAGGCTTGCTTCTGAAAAACGATCTACTGAAAATGAGCCAGTGAAAACCCTGCAATTCACAAGTCTGACCCACAAGTGATGCTGAAGATGGCATAGGAACAGGCAGTGTTTCATTTGTTGTGCACGGGATCACCGTGAGTCAGGGCTGTGTTGACAGCAGATGACAACAAGAAGTCCCTATGTCAGTCAAACTCCATGTGTCCCTGCGTGCCTTCAACTCCCTCCTCATCATCGTCATGACCACAACAAGTAGGGTGATAGTCCCAGGGTGACAACAATGGAAAGTGCCAACAGACTCAATGCAAGTATGTGTGTGTGTGTGTGTGGGTGGGGGGGGTAATCTATTCATTCACTCACTCATTTATTCAACACATATATTGAACCCCTACTGTGTGCCAGGGAGTCCCTGGGTGGTGCAAATGGTTGACTCACTTGTTTCCCAACTGAAAAGCTGGTGGTTAGGCTACTCAGAGGTGCCTCAGAAGGAAGGCCTGGTGATCTCCTTTCAAAAGTCAGCCATTGGAAACCCAATGCAGCACAATTCCATTCTGACACACGTGGGTCACCATCAGCCAGAATGGACTACACAGCCACTGGTTGCCTTTGGATTTTTTAAGTGGGTGCCAGGTACCAGGCAATGGGGATGGAGTGAGGAACAAAAGCCTGTGTTCTCAGGGTCACAGAGCCAACAAGAGGAGGCAGAGGTGCTATTTCAGATGGGGTGGTCAGGGAAGAGGGAGTCCTGGTGGTGCAGTGGTTAAAGCACTCAGAAGCCAATGGAAAAGTTGGCAGTTTTGAACCCACCAGCCATTCCACAAAAGAAAAATAAGGCAAGCCGTCTGCCTCCATAAAGATTACAGCCTTGGAAACCCCATGGGGCAGTTCTCTGTCCTAAGGGTTGCTCTGAGTCAGAATTCACTCAATGGCAATGGGGTTTTGCATTTGGGTCAGAGAAGGCCTCTCAATGGAAGGGACATTTGGGCAGAGAGCTGAGTGAAGGGAGGGAGCAGCCTGGGCACAGAGTTGTCAAGGCCAGAGAACAGCAGGTGCAAGGTCCCTGAGGCAGCCCCATGCTTGGGCTGGTGTGGCTGGTGCAGTGAGAAGCAGGATGCAAGAAGTAGAAAATGAAGCCAGAGAGTTGGCTAAGGGCAAGAGCTCAAAAGACAAGGACTTTAGAGGGTTTTACTCACAACAAGGCAGGCAGCAGCATTCACAGAAGTTCAAGTTTCCAAGCTCTAGTGCCCACCAGCCATGATACCAGTGAGACCACTTGGTGAATGTGAGAATCTACAAAATGTTGGGGGGTGTTTAACCGCTTTCATTCTCTCTGCTCAACTGCTCACCCAGTAATTCTGCTGCAAGCCTGAGTGAGTCCCACATCAGTATCCTTCTGAGACCACCCCCCAGCAGCCCTGGCCACAGGCCCACATGACAGCCACCACTCCTGCACTCACAGTTACTGAGCAGCTACTCAGTTCCAGGCTCCCTGCACATGGCTTTGTGTGCTCGCATCACCCTCACACAACCCTACCAACCAGTTGTTGAGTTGACTCCAACTTATAGTGACCTCATGTGTGAAACAGTAGAATTGTGCTCCACGGCATTTCAGTGGCTGGTTTTGGGAAGTAGACCACCAAGCTCTGCTTCTAAGACTCCATTCAGGTAGTGTTTGAGGACATTAACTGCCCCACCCATGGACTCCTCACCCAACCCTCAAGTGGGCTTTCTCATGGTCCCCATTTTACAGATGAGGAAGCTGAGGCCCAGGGAGTAGAGATAATTTCCTGAAGTCCCACAGTCAGCATCAAGCCCAGTTCCTCTGATCCACTGTCTTCCACATCTACACTGTCTGCCTCTCATTGCAGGCTGCTCAATCTAGGAGATGGGAGGTGGACATACTAGGCAATTCTGAAAGCATCTCAGACTACATATGAGCAACATTAACTGCCTCACACTCATTTACTCCTACCCACAGGCACCTCAGCCTGGCAGGAGTCACAACATCACAAGTTGTCTTTTCAGTTGACCTCATTCAAATCTTAAATGGCTTTTTCAACTTGATTCAAAGCCAGAAGAGCCAGGGGTCAGTAATATACTGACTACTGTAGGGAAAATAACTTCAAACCCTTTCTTCTGTCAACTCTGATCTTCCCGCTGCCTTTACGAATTCCATGGAGAAGCCACACATTGCCTACACTAAGCTTCACATGTCCATGAACTATGCCACCATCTTCTGAGTAATCCAAGAGGACAGGAAGTCCTTCCTGTTTTCCCAGAACACCACCCCCATCTCACAGCTTGGGAGTTAATAGCACTGATGGCTTAGTTACTTAGTGCTGTTCTAACAGAAATACCACAAGTGGGTGCCTTTATCAAACAGAAATGAATTTGTTCACAGGTTAGGAGGCTAGAAGTCTGAATTCAAGGTGTTGGCTCTAGGCAAAGGCTTTCTCTGTCTGGTAGCTCTGGAGGCACATCCTGGTCTCTCTTCAGCTTCTGTTCCTCAGCTCCCTGGTGATCCTCATGTGATGTGGCATCTGTCTTCTCTCATTTGTGCTTGCCTGCATAATCTGCTCCTTTCATATCTCAAATCACTTGGTTTGAGACACACCCTACACTGATGTGGCCTCATTAACATGACAAAGACAACCAAATTCCCAAATGAGATTGCCTCCGCAGGTATAGGGATTAGGATTCCAGCACTTGTTTGGTGGATGCAATTTAATCCATAAAGGTTGATGTGCCACTATAAGGCCAGCACTTACTGAGCACTTGCTGTGTGCCAGGCTCCATTTAGTTCCACCTGCTAGAAAGAGGTGTCCTTATGACCCCCCTTTACAGACATGGAGACTGAAGCTCAGAAAGATGCCGGCACTTCCCCAGGTCACCCTCCGGGGAAATGATGAAGCCAGCATTTGAACCCAGCTGGTCTCAACCATCCACTCCAGACCTTCTCCCAGTGGTGAAATTTAGGGAGACAGGGAGCACGGTCAAACTCTCCCTAAGGATTTCATGTGTCCTCAGCCTTCACCAGGAAGCAAAGCAGTTTGGCCAGCACAGCAGCCAGCGTGATTTTATCCTATCCACTCAGCATCAGGAACTCTTCAGAATCAAAATCATTGCCCAGCAGGACTGACAGGTTGGACAAACTTCTCATCTACTCTCAGGCACTACACTGCAGCAGGCACTGAGCTAGACACAGAAATAGAGAGGTGGCTTGGCCATGGCACCTGCTCTACCCGTATGGGTAAGATACACTTTCACAGGCTCTGCTCGACTCCTAGCCAAAAAGTTGGAGTTCAAACCCACCCAGAATTGCCTTGGAAGACAGACCTGGCAATCTGCTTCTGAAAGTTCATATGAAAACCCTGTGGAGCAGTTCTGCTCTGTACACACGTGCTCACTATGAGTCAGAGTCAAATTGACAGCAACTAACACCACCACCAGAGGTCATCTGCCTCTTGATGACCCCATGTGTGAGATGGATTGACACGGTGGCTGCAATGATGGGCTCAAGTATAGCAGGGATTGTGGGGCTGGCACGGGATCGGGCAGTGTTTTGTTCTGCTGTGCGTGGGGTTGCTATGAGTCGGAAACGACTCGACGGCACTTAACAACAACAACACAGGAACCTATGGATGACCCTACAGTGGAGAGACTGAGAGAACCACTACCATGAGGCTGTAGGGCCACGGGGTAGGCTTCCTGACCTGAGGATGGGAAGAGGAGTAGGATGTTGCTAGGCCGAGAAGAAGGAAAGGTCATTGAGGGCAAGGGAACAGCATTGTCAAAGGAACAGTAACACTGTGCCGGATGCTTTCACAGCTCCCCTCATTGGGGCTTATTCAGCTCCCTGTGAAGAGGAACCACTCTGAGCTCCATTTTACAGTTGAGGAAACCAAGGCTCCAAAAAGTAGTGCAACTTGTTCTTTCTACTACACCATACTCCTCTAGTTAGGGAGGAGGAGAGGAAAGCTAGATACCACCAAGACTGTCCTTCTCTTCAATGTACTTGGTTCTTAGGGAAGGGGTTGGTCTTTAGGGTCACAGGAAAATACTGTGCCTGGAAGTCTAAGCTTGGACTGTAGCTGTGGACTTATAATTTGCTAAGTGCTGTGTGAATGTGGTTTGAATCCATCCAGAAAGGCACCTCAGAAGAAAGGCCTGATGATCGACTTGTGAAAGATCACAATTGACAATCCCATGGGGCACAGTTCTACTCACACACATGGGGTCATCAAGAGGCAGATGACCTCTGGCTCAATGGCTGGTTTGGTTTGGTTTGGTTCAGGGTGGGTGCTAGTGACATATTGATGATAAGACCTGTGGTGGCCCACAGGAGTTCACAGCCAAGAGTGGTGACTACAGGAGAGCGGGACAGACATGAACCCATGGGCTTGTCACACCAAACAGAGCATAAGATGTCCTCCAACTCAGATGCACAAAATTGAAAGGAAACTCATAAAAGGGAGTGGGTATTTCACCTGCAGGAATCTTCCCAGGAGGCTTCCTCAGCTTTGAAGCATGAGCAGAACGT